GCCCGACGAGCCCGCGCCGCTGCTCGGGGACCAGGATCCTGCCGGCGCCCTCCCCGCCGATCCCACCCCTCCTTCGGTGAGTTACATATGCCAGATGGTAAAATTTTCATTCAGAGAGGCTTTAGTTAGTCCTGCCACGGGGGAAGGACTCATGTGCTGTTGTTGGAGGATATAGAAGTGATGCTGCTGCCGGCTGCAGCTTTTTTCCAGATCTTTGATTTTGTTATGTGCTGCCAGGTCCTTTCTCACTTTCTTCCCTTAACAATATAATATATTTTTCATCTCTGCCTTAGGTCTTTTAAATGGATACCTTGTGCTGTAAGTTAAGGGAATGTCGCATTATTAGCAGATTCAGATGTGTTCCCGACATCACGTGTGTTTGAGTGATGTGATATACTCCTGAATGTGATGCTGACATTGTTTCTATTCCTCTTAGCCTTTAGTTTTTCTCTCGATAAGACGTGAGCAAGAATTGTCCTTGCATTCATCTATGTTCTGGTCTTTATGCACCCTCTGGAAGAATGTATGTGGTTGTGTATGAAGGGCCCTCAGAGGAAACAGTAGAGAAAATTTGCTGACCTCATGTCTTTTAATTTTTATTTTTTGAGGACCGGATAGGCCTTAGCTTGAAAATTTCTGTTACGTCAAGAGCCATACCAGGGGAGAAGGGGAGAGTGTCAGGTTATGGGTGGCAAGGTGAGGAGGGAGAGAATGACCCCTTGCAGATTTTCACCATTTTATTTTGTCCTAGAGAGCTTCTCCTTTTTGCCTTACTGAAGTTAGAAATTTATTCACAGTTCTCTAATGGTCAAACGAAACTATCCTCCACCTTCATGACAGAGATGTAAAGATGGCTGTGTCAAGTCTATGGTATGATGGTGCGTGTTAAAGAACATGGTCTAGGCCAGCAGGTGACTTCTGTGTTCTCAAGGAGTCTTGACTACAAGATTTTATTCCAGCTGTACTAGGAGCCCTGGCTGGTCCTTCCTGTGTCTTTGCTGGCTTATCTGATGTTTGTAACTAATAGCTTCATTGTGCAATTGTGGTAATTGCCATAATGCGAGCTTTGGGAAGAGGATACCCCATATTCATTCTCTGCTAAAGACTGAGATTATTTCTCTACTCCAAGTGCCAAAATGTAGAAGAGTTAGTTCTGCCCACTAATTTTCTGCATTCTTTGTTGTTATAAGCTAAAAGATAATAAGTCTAAATGTCTTATTTTTGATATCACACTGCTCAGAATGTGGCTGCTCAAGCAGTAGTTCATCATTCTGCTTCCTTGCAGTGTGGTATTTCCTGTCAGTGGCAGTTATTGAGTGTCAGCACACAGGGAATGTCAAGGTTTGAGAGTAATGTGTCTTACAAGTTGCACCATATGCTGAAGTAGGATGAAGCTGTCTCTGAGCTGCTGCTCTGATGTCTGGGTTTTAATCAGATGTGCACTTTGCTTAATCAGTTCAGGACATTTTAAATTTCTTTGAAGCATCATGATGAGCAAAGATACATCTTTGCATACATTTTGTGATCCTTCTTCTCAGTAAAGAGAAATTGTGTGTGCCACTGTTCCCTCATGGTGTCTCATGAAGACAGAGGAACTAAAATCATTTGCTGTCGTGTGATTCAAAATAACTGAAATACGTAAAGATATAAAATGCAGTTTGTCTTAGTTGTTATATGGAGCCCACAGTAATGGTTATGTGCATTTTCTCTTTTTTATTGTCGGAAGAAATTACACTGGGAAAGAGTGGTGGTGGTCTTTGGTTGTGAGCTCCAGAGTGAATATTCTATTGACTTTATACCAACTGCATACCCTGCCTGAGAACCTGCTGCTGAAACATTAAGGTATTGAAGCTGGCTGAGGGAGGCACTCCCCAGCTGGTGAATGTACATGGCCTGATCATGGTGCACATTACAGGGTTTTTTCCTGTGC